ATTTAAGGGGGTCTGAATACTTTCCGTACCCACTGTATGTGATGTTTATCGGTCAAGTGCAGACTGGAAAATGTGTGATATAAGACTGTTATTGCATAATGATAATGTGTTCCTTTCTATAATATGGTGTATTTGTTCATAAAAATACAGCTTGCCGTGTGACCCGTGGTCTTACCATCCATCAGCTGGATCCAAAAGTCACCAGATCTGCTCCTGATAAGTTTGCGCAATAGGGTCCGAGATGTGGGACTCACCACCAGACTGTGCACATGATGCTCCCTAAATAATAAACAGAACAGTGTTGTTCCTCATCCTGAACTGTAAACACACAATTAGCTAGGGTCTTACCTCTTACATAACATCACAATTTTGTGATTGTACCTTGGTCAACACCTTTTGTGACAAATCAATTTGGGCAAAAAATTGAACATCTATTTTACTATTGCAATGCTGCAGCAATGATGTCAAACCCCAGAAGATTCAAATTCGCCATGGGTTCCCTGGGGATTTTCTGAATTTTTGTTATTGTATTTTCATGAGTAAAATAAAGTCTGTGGTATACATAATTTATACTTGTACGTTTTGTTGTACAACATAAACTGCACACATTCACATCCCAAACATTTTTAATGTAGTTTTTACCAGAGCTGGGTAGATTGCTTACAAATTGTAGTCGGTTACTGATTCCAAATTACATTACAATAATTGTAGTTAGTAATGTAATTCATTACATTACACATTTTAGGTAATATAATCAGACTACTTTTTGGAGCTTGTAAATTAACTGCAGGGGGTTTAGAATTTAATGAAAAGCTAATAATTAATTAAATCATAAAAAGGTACAATTTTAAAATAACATCAATCAAAATAAAACGCTTACTAAAATAATAAATTATTTTAATTTGTTTACCTGCATATCATGTGACCATTAACCAATGTCAGACAACCGTGACCATACACGTGATACTTAATTATTCAAATAATTTGTTTCATTGAATTGCATTTTAATGTGTTTAAAAGACAAAAGCTTTTCAAAGCTATAGTAATACAAGGTTAAACAACCTAGTGAGTGATAATTCAAATAAAAATGTGTTCATCAGTAGTTGATGCAATGTTGAAACACTTCTAAACCTGAAATTACTTTTGTAATTTTGAAAATAGTCATCATTTTGTTACTACAGTGAAAGTAACAAAAACTTGTAAAATACA